TCTGATCCAACCAACACCTCCTGGGGCCCTGCGCCCGCGCCGTCATGCCCAGCCAGCGGCACGCAGCAGCGGGAGGGGGGCTCCGGGTGCTGATCCCTGAGCTGTCACTGGCTCCCTGGTGTGACCGCGGGCGAGGGACGGAGCTTTGCCAGGACAGCGTAGCCCATCACACCATCTGTCGGGCCTGCATTTCCTGCCCGGCCTCCCGTCTGGCCAATGGAGCGACCGGTACCTGCATCGCGGGCGTATAAATCGCAGCGTCCTCGCGGAAACACCCAGACGCTTCCTGCCTCTGGCCGATCAGCCACCGGGCGCTGGCACACAGCTCGCTGGGGTCGATGTGGGTGCCCAGCGGCAAGGCCATGGCAAACACCTTGAGGATGTAGGCGGTCAGCCTGCCGGGAGTGCGGGGGCATGAATCTGCAGGGCTGGAGGGGAGGGGAGCTCCCAGGCCACGGGAGAGCTGTGGCCAGACCCAGCAGCAGGCGGCACCGTGCCTGAGGGAGCTGCTGCAAACACATCACTGCGGGGAGCTGAGCCAGGCAGTGGCACTGCCCCCTTGCAGGGCTCTGTGTGGACGGGGCCCTGCCCCCTTCGCAGCAGCACAGCCAGGCCTTCCCCCACACCAGCACAGACCCCAGCTCCCGCTGCCCCTGCCCAGGACACCGGAGTGAACGGAGAATCCCCACTCGCTGTGAGCTGTATAGGGTGTATGACACGCAGTGCGAGCAGCTCTACGCCCCGCCAGGGGAGGGCAGCATTGCACGCTGTGGCCAGCTCACCATCCCCAGCCCTGCCGCCCCCCGCGAGGAAGGTGCCATACCAGGTGCTGCCGGTGCTTCCCCGATAGGGCTTGTAGGAACCATCACTCTCTCTGTAACCCCGCTGGCGGGTGTAGCCTGCAGGAGAGCCCAAACAGACACGCAGTCGGGGCTGGGCCGTCGGAGTCCCAGGGCAGGGGGCTGGGTGGGGGCTGCATGCACCCCCCCCAGGCTCAGATTCAGGGAGAGTGGGCGGGGGAAGAGTGGAGAGCACCCCCTGCTGGGCAGAGTGTAGCATCATCACACATTGCAAACCCTGCCTCCCACCCTCTGGCCTGGCTGGGCCCCGCTCACCGTGGGCGATGTTCTGGATGGACTGATCCCGGAGCTCCACCCCGATCTGGTCCCACTGCTTGGTGGTGTCCAGGTAGTGGGTGAGGATGATGTTCGGGGTGACGCTGAAGATGTTCTGCTCCACGCACCCCCCCGGCAGCATGATCAGCTTCTGCAGCGTGGAGCTCTGCAGCCCCCCGACCAGCGTCTCGCCGAGCAGGTCGCCTGCCGAGGGAGAGGAGATGCCCACTCACACCCCAGCTTGTCCCTTCCCCCCAGCCCCAGCTGGCTGCGGGCGGCCTGGCCACGCCACGCGTGCTGCTGAGAAGCGGGACAGCTGCATTGTACCCTGGCTCTGGGAGGGGAGTGGGGGCTAGTGGTTAGAGCACTGCATGGTGTCAAGTATCTGGGTGGAGCCGTGTTAGTCTGTATCCACAAAAACAACGAGGAGTCCGGTGGCACCTTAAAGACTAACAGATTTACTTGGGCATAAGCTTTCGTGGGTAAAACACTCACTTCTTCAGATGCCACGCCCCCCTCCCCAACCAGCCCGCCATACAATTTCCAAAACCCGATGCGGCCGTCGGGCCAAAAAGTTTGCCCACCCCCAGTATAGATCATTGTTGCAACCACTGTTATATATTTGCAGCAAATATTGTACGAAGGTTGTCGTGTGAGGCGTCTATACAGAGGTTATGGTTTGCTGGTTATGATTATGCTGTCTGTAGGGTTGTCTGTCCTGTCTGTATTTCACACTTGGGCTCTGCTTCTGGGTGACACGCCAGACAGTTTGGTGTCAGCGCTGCCTGGCCTGCTTGATGGCTCATTACAAACCATCAGCTACAACTGACCCATGAGAGAAGCAGATACACCTGGTGACTCAGCAAGGCTGAGACCTGCCTAGGGACAGACTCAGAGGTTTTTACAGGCCATGTGCTGGATGATTGTCTTTGGGACAAAGAAAGAGAGGCCACATGGCCAGAGACTATAAAAGGCAGCTGCCTCATCTCCATCTTGTCTTCAATCCTGCTTCTGACCTCTGGAGGGACCTTGCTACAAACTGAAGCTCTGAACAAATGACTGAATGACCCATCCCAGCTGTGGATGTGCTCCAGAGACTTGATTTGAACCTGCAGTTTATTCTATCGCTGCTACAAGTCTGAACCAAGAACTTTGCCATCACTGTATGTCATTGATTCCGTGTAACCAATTCTAGCTCTCATCCAGATCTTTTTCCTTTTATGAATAAATCTTTAGATTTTAGATTCTAAAGGACTTGCAACAGCGTGATTTGTGGGTAAGATCTGATTTGTATATTGACCTGGGTCAATATACTGGGCTTGGTCCTTTGGGATCGGGAGAACCTTTTTTCTTTGGCTGGGGTATTGGTTTTCATAACCATTTGTCCCCATAACAAGTGGCACTGGTGGTGATACCGGGAACCTGGAGCATCTAAGGGAATTGCTTGTGTGACTTGTGGTTAGCCAGTGGGGTGAGACCGAAGTCCTCTCTGTCTGGCTGGTTTGGTGCCTTAGAGGGGGAGAAAACCCCAGCTTTGGGCTGTGTAACGACGCTGGTTCTGGCGGGACCCAACTGAGAGAGCCAATTCAGGACAAAGCAATAAAGACTAACAGATGTATTGGAGCATAAACTTTCGTGGGTGAATACCCACTTCGTCAGACACATGTCGTCTGACGAAGTGGGTATTCACCCACGAAAGCTTATGCTCCAATACATCTGTTAGTCTTTAAGGTGCCACAGGACACTTTGTTGCATTTTACAGATCCAGAAGAACACGGCTACCCCTCTGATACTTGACACCATGCAATTCAGGACAAATTGCTTAAAAGAGGGCAGGTTTATTCATAAAAGGAAAAAGATCTGGATGAGAGCTAGAATTGGTTACATGGAATCAATGACACACAGAAATGGCAAAGTTCTTGGTTCAGGCTTGTAGCAGTGATGGAATAAACCACAGGTTCAAATCAAGTCTCTGGAACATCCCCAGCTGGGATGGGTCATTCAGTCCTTTGTTCAGAGCTTCTGTTTGTAGCAAAGTCCCTCCAGGGGTAAGAAGCAGGATTGAAGACCAGATGGAGGAGAGGCATCAGCCTTTTATAGTCTCCTCCAGGTGTAAGAACACCTCTTTGTTCTTACTGTGGAAAATTACAGCAAAATGGAGTCTGGAGTCACATGGGCCAGTGTGACGTTATTGACATAAACTGGGACCATATAGATCATTGGTGCAACCAAGGTCCTGTAGTGGCACCCAAATCTTGTATAAAGGGGGTCAAATGGGGTGTCTAAGACAAGGTTATGGTTTAATGGTTATGATTAGGCTGTCTATATGTGTGTATCAGTTTCGTAGTTGAAGTTATTATTATGGCTCTATACTGTCTGTATGGCAAACTTATGCTATGCTTCTGGGTGACATCCCAGACAGGCTGGGATTAGCTCTGCCTAGCCTGCTTGATGGCCCATTAAGGACCATCAGCTATACAATGGACCCATTGAGAGAAGGCCAATATGCCTTCAGACTCAGCAAAGTATGCAGGGACTGGCCCATGTGACTCCAAGCTCCATTTTGCTGTAATTTTCCACAGTAAGAACAAAGAGGTGTTCTTACACCTGGAAAAGACTATATAAGGCTGATGCCTCATCTCCATTTGGTCTTCAATCCTGCTTCTTACCTCTGGAGAAACTTTGCTACAAGCTGAAGCTTTGAACAAAGGACTGAGGACCCATCCCAGCGGGGGATGTATTCCAGAGACTTGATTTGAACCTGCAGTTTATTCTATCGCTGCTGCAAGCCTGAACCAAGAACTTTGCCATTACTGTATGTAATTGATTCCATTTAACCAATTCCAACTCTCATCTCTATCTTTTTCCCTTTATGAATAAACCTTTAGATTTTAGATTCTAAAGGATTGGCAACAGCGTGATTTGTGGGAAAGATCTGAGTTGTATATTGACCTGGGTCTGGGGCTTGGTCCTTTGGGATTGAGAGAACCTTTTTTGTATATATTGGGATATTGGTTTTCATAACCATTTGTCCCCATAACGAGTGGCACTGGTGGTGATACTGGGAAACTAGAGTGTCTAGGAGATTGCTTGTGAGACTTGCGGTTAGCCAGTGGGGTGAGACCGAAGTCCTCTTAGTCTGGCTGGTTTGGTTTGCCTTAGAGGGGGAAAAACCCCAGCCTAGGGCTGTAACTGCCCTGTTTGAGCAATTTGTCCTGAGTTGGCACTCTCAGTTGGGTTCCGCCAGAACCACATCGTCACAGCCAGTCCCTGCATACTTTGCTGAGTTACAAGGCGTATCTGCCTTCTCTCAGTGGGTCAGTTGTATAGCTGATGGTCCTTAATGGGCCATCAAGCAGGCTAGGCAGAGCTGACACCAACTGGTCTGGGATGTCACCCAGAAGCATAGCATAAGTTTGAAATACAGACAGTATAGAGCCAATATTCATAACTTCAACTACAAAATTGATACACACATATAGACAGCATAATCATAACCAGCCAACCATAACCTCGTCTTAGACACCTCATTTGACCCCCTTTATACAAGATTTGGTGCTACTACAGGACTTTGGTTGCAACCATGTTCTATACGGTCCCAGCTCAAGTCAATAACGTGACAGGCTGTAACTGCCCTGCTCTCAGCAATTTGTCCTGAATTGACACTCTCCGATGTGTCCTGCGAAAGCTAGTATCGTTACACCCTGGCTCTGGGAGGGGCGTGTTTCTCGGGGCAGAGCAGGGTGATTTACAGCAGCGTAGGCGAGAGTGGAATCTGTCCCACCACATGCGCTGGGGCCAGGGAGGCCCCTGGAGCTGGAGCTTAGAGGGCAGGGAAACGGGGGAGGGTAGCCCTGGGGGGACGTTCACGGGCCCAGCGGCTGCTCAAAGGCCGAGCCGCACTTGCTGCCTGGCGCCCCTGCGGAGCCGTGCCCGGCTGGCACCCCACGTACCTTGCACGCTAATGAAGACCTCGGCGTCTGTGTCGGGCACCAGGTTTTCGAGGTGTTGGCTTCTGACCAGCTCCTGCTGCAGTTGACCTGCCAGGGGAGGACGGAGCATTCGGGGTGAGGGAGGAGTGGTGCTCCGATGCTCAGATTGGTTATAAACAAGCTCCTGCCACGGGGCTGCAGGGGGGTGCGGAGCTGAATGTCACAGGGGAGGGTGTGGGGCAGGGAGACGCCCGTTGCGGGGCAGTCTAGGCCAGGAGAATCCGCGCCAGGCGCCTGATCCCTGTTGCCTGGAAGGTGTTACCGGCTCTTGGATCTACAGACAATCGCAGACCTGGGTGTGCTAAGCTCCCCTCTCTGCCTCAATGGAAGGAGCAATTAAATCCCATTATGTAGTGAGAGCTGGACAACAAGGAGCCACCGCCCAAGGCTAGGCCTGGCAGCACAGCTCGTGAGAAGCTAAGCCGCATGGGCTGAGGGGCTGCCCTGGGCACTGGCTGTAAATTGCCAGGGCCGAGCACTGAGGGTGTCTGTGACCCAGCACAGAGGGCAGCAGTGGGACCATGGCTGTGGGAGTGTGGGAGGAAGCTGATGGACAGAGCTCTGCTGGGCACAGGACTGGCGGGAAAGGCAGCCTTGGAAACTCCCTGTAGCTGCTTGTTCCTGCTGCATCCAGGGGAGCGGGGCTCTGGCCATGCTCAGGAACGGGGATTGCACTAGGGACCCCCGCCTCGCATCAGCCATTTCTCCTCCTCATGGGGGAGCTCCTCGGGCCCCGGGCCCCTGCCTGGGGCGGACGGTGCAGAGTCTGGCTGCGGGGCCGGGCGCGTAGTGAGTTCCCGCACAAACCTTTGGGGTTCAGGACGATGCTCCGCGAGAGCCGCTGGATTTCACCCCCCGCCTGCAACGCGAGGAGCCGAGAATGAGTCTGAGGGGCGGGGCTTGGGAGGGAGCCCTTCCATCCCGACCCCATCCCCCACTCCCCCCAGAGCCGCCCATTCCCCACTGCCCCAGAGCCGCCCATCCCCCACTGCCCCCAGCCCCTTCCATCCCCCACTCCCCCAACTCCCCCTCCCGACCCCAGACCTCCGCAGAGCCGCCCATCCCCCACTGCCCCCGAGCAACCCATCCCCCACTCCCCCAGAGCCCCCCATCCCCCACTGCCCCCGAGCCGTCCATCCCCCATCCCCCCACTCCCCCCGAGCCACCCATCCCCCACTGCCCCCAGCCCCTTCCACCGAGCCCCCCCAGCTCCCCCACCCAATCCCAGACCTCCGCAGATCCTGCCCAGCCCCCACTCCCTCCAGCCCCTTCCAACCCCCCCAGAGCCACCCAGCCCCCCCGGCTCCCCCACCCGACCCCACTCCTCACTGCCCCCAGCCCCTTGGCAGCAAGGGGGGCGGGTGGTGCCGTTACCTGGACGTTGAGCATCCTCCTGACGATGTCGCGGAAGCCCAGGCCATGGGCCAAGGCCCGAACCTCCACCATGACGGGGCCCAGCTCCAGGGGCACCACGACGATGCGCACGGCCCGGGATGAGCCCCGGGGCACCCGCAGCCTCTGCCGAAAGCTCTTCCCCTGCCGGGCCGGGCTGCAGAGCTGCTCCTGGTACGGGAAATCCACCTGCACCTGTATGGGCACCCGGCGCCGCTGAGCCGGGCAGCAGCGGGCAGTGACAGCGCCCCCCCCCCGGGGCCCCCCAGCCCCCAGAGCCCCCCCCAGCATGCCCAGCCCCCCCTGGGGCCCCCCAGGATTCGGAGCCCCGGTCACCTGCAGCTCTTCATCGTCCTCGTGGTAGTTGTACACCACGGCCCGCAGCTCCACCTGCTCGTTCCGCACCACGGAGTAGGGCAGCCGCAGATCGACGAAGAACGGGACCTTCACCACCACCTCGTAGGGCTCGGAGACACAGAGCCCTGGGGGGCCAGGGGGTCAGCCGGCCGTATCCCCAGGGACACTGGGGCCATCACTGCGCCCCTCACTCCCGACACGCAGCCCCCTCCTAGCCCAGCCCTGCCAGTGCTCCTCACTCCCGACCCACAGCCCCTGCTAGCCCAGCCCCGCCCCCCCCGCTCTGCCGGTGCCCCTCACTCCCGACTCGCAGCCCCTGCTAGCCCAGCCCTGCCCCCCCCAGCTCTGCCGGTGCCCCTCACTCCCGACCCGCAGCCCCAGAAGCTGGGTTACCTTTGTCTTTCCTCAGGCTGACGGCCAGGATGTGCCAGGTGGTGATGGAGTCGGGGAGGTATTTGGTGAGCAGGTGTTTGGCGAGGCTGCAGGGAGGGAGGTGAGTTCGAATCAGGCTCATTCACTGAACATGGGGCCTGGCGCCAGCAGCAGGATCCTGGCTGGGGGCTTTGGACCAGGCCCTGGGGCAGCTCCTGGGCTGGAGTTGACACGACACAGGAGGCCGTGGGGGCAGCCGGGAACCCAGAGATCCCCACCCAGGGGCCGCGGCAGGGGAAGCTGCACCGTGCCCTGCCGTGCGGGACGCCCCACGTTCTCCCTGCTCCGGGTTACGGCCCCCCCAGGCCCGGCCCCCCTCACCCCGGCTGGCGCGAGTCTGCCTCGGTCAGGTTGAACTTCTCCCACAGCCAGCTCTCCGGGAAGTGGCTTCTCACCACGGCGGGGCCACCGCAGTCCTCGTCCTCGCACTCCTCGTCCTCGTTGGCTGCAGGGCGTTGGGGGGGGTCGGTCAGCGGGGGCTGGACGGCAGGGACCCCCCCGAGTCCCCCACAGGCCGGGCCCCCCCCCGCAACCCCCCCCCCCCCTAGGGCTGCCCCCCCCCCCCAGGGTTGCAAACTTTCTAATTGCACAAAACCAAACACCCCTGCCCTGCCCCCACTCACTCCAGCCCCCCTCCATCTCTCGCTCTCCCCCACCCTCGCTCACTTTCACTGGGCTGGGGGTTGGGGTGCAGGCTCTGGCCAGGTGGCGCTTACCTCAGGTGGCTCCCTCCCCCAACAACCACCCTCCACAGGCCAGCGGCCCCCCCCCCCCCCCCCGCGCCGCCCCCCCCCCCCCCCCCCCCCCCG